TTTTTTTTTTTTTTAATTTTTGAGAGAGTCTTCCTAAATCAGTAAGTTACCCAGGTTGAACTCAAACTTGTGATCCTCCTGCCTCAGACCCTGAGGACTGAGGTTGCACTTCTGACTCCCATTCATACCGTTTCTCCCATGTTGGTGAACTTGAGCTCCTCTTAAGGCCTGAAGCCTGGAACCTGGGGCACCAACCAGTCAGGGAGCCAGTGTGACCACAGGCAGTGAGGACCTAGCGTGCTTAGTACTTGGAGCTGTAGCCACCCCATCTGCTTGGGGGTGACAGGGGAGGTGGCTCAAGAAAGGCTTCCTGGAGGAGGGAGCTGTGAGCCAAGACCTGAGATGTGAGTAGGTGGGTGTGCTCTAGACAGGACAGGTACGTACCTGCTCCAGCTGCTGTTGTGTGCTCAGCAAGCCTGCACTGTCCCGCTCTGGCCCTGGCCCTTGCTGCCGTCAGGGATAAAGCAGTGCCCAAGACCAGACCTGGGCTCACGACTCCCAGCAGATGGTGTCTGAGCGCTGCAGGGATTAGCCAGTGATGGGCATGCCAGGCAGTGGGGAGACTTGGCAGGCAGTGTTGCTTTTGAGGAACTGACAGAAGCATGGTTTGCTTGCAAGGAGGTGGAGTGAGGTGACGAGGCTAGGGCCTTCTCCAGCGGGGCCTGCCTTCATCCCAGCTACTCACCCCTAGGTGCGCTCCCAGGCCCTGCTGTTCATCAAGCGCATGTATGAGAAGGAGCAGCTACGAGAGTATGTGGAGAAATTTGCCCTCAACTACCTGCAGCTCTTGGTGCACCCCAACCCGCCATCTGTGCTCTTTGGGGCCGACAAGGACACAGGTGCATTGGATGCATACTGAGCCCTGCCCACTTGCTGAGAGAACAGCTGAATGGGCCTGAGGGTCCACAGGGGCTGGAGTCCAAGGAGGGCTGGCCAGTGGTGGCTCCAGGGAGGGCCATCTCAGGCCTGTCCCTCAGCAGAGGCCCAGGTCCTCCAGAATCAGACAGGGAGCCCCGGGCCATGTTAACAGGCCTTTAAATGGGAAGGGTTGGGCTGGGATGGGGAGGCCCAGCCTGGTGCTATTAGGCTTCCCAGTGGGGAAGGGACCTAGGGCCAGGCCTGTGTGAGCAGAGCTGGTGATCCAGGCAGAGGAGACGGTGGCACAAAGGCTCTGAAATGAGGGGCCTTGGGGACTTGAAGAAGTGGTGGGTGGTGGCCAGGCCCAGGCTGGCGGCTGAGGTAGTGGTACCCCTTACTGCACCTGGCAGATAAGGGAAGATGAAGAGCCGGGAGTTTGTCCTGAAGCCATGGGGCAGTTGTGGGACTTGGAGAGGGTCAGGGTCAGAACCATACTTGAGAGGGGTCCTTCTAGTTCGGAGGTCAGAGGAGGCTTAGGTGGAAGTCCTGGGGCCACTCCCCTTCCCTAGACGAATTTGTTTCCCAGTCCTGGCTCCTGCCTCCACCCACCCCCTTCTTCCCACTGACCTGCTCCCTGAGAAAGGCCAGCCACTGGGCACAGGTTGGGAGAGTGCACCAGTCTGATGTGCACCCTGCCCTGTCAGAGGTGGCAGCACCCTGGACCGAGGAGACCGTGAAGCAGTGTCTGTACCTCTACCTGGCCCTCCTGCCTCAGAACCATAAGCTGATCCACGAGCTGGCAGCCGTGTACACCGAGGCCATTGCTGACATCAAACGGACGGTGCTGAGGGTCATCGAGCAGCCGGTGAGGCCCCTGAGCCCACCAGTTCCCTGGAGCTGAGTCCCCAACTCCAGTCCCTCCCTGGATGTCTCCACCTCAGTGTGCTAAGCACAAAGGACAGTCACCCCATAGCTTCTCAGCGCTCCTGTCATCTCCAGTTCATGAGAAGAAACAGGGTGGCCCTGCAGATGAGAGCCTGGAGTGGGATGGACCCTCGTTCTCCTGTGACCCTGGGCACCTCAGTAAAAATGGGGGGTGGGGGGTGGGGGTGGGGGCCAAATGCAGGCCCCCTTCGGTTGAGGGAGCCTGTGAACTCATGCGCATCAGTCTCTGTGCCACTGCCCTCGAACTGGCCTTCGGTGTTGCTAGAGGGAATCTTCGGTTGTCTTTACAGAAAATAAGCCCCTCCTGCCCTTTTCCCTGAGTCACCAGGTTGCTTGCTAGGAAGCAACTGGAGCAAACCAGCAGCTGCAGTTTGCCATGTCTGCCTCCACTGCACCTGGGTTTGAAACTGCTTGTTGACATCTCTACTCCTGACTTTCACAAAATTATTATGCAAGTTTTCTAACAAAAACAAAGGGAGGGGCTGGGGATTTAGCTCAGTGGTCCCGCTGCCTGCCTCAAAAGCACAAGGTCCCAAGTTTGATCCCCGGTACCAAAAAAACAAAGGGAAAGCGAATGCCATCTTAATCCCCACATACCTGCCTTCCAGATTTGCTGGTCTCCTTACCTATAAAATGGGATTCTAGGGATGGGGACTTAGCTCAGTGGTGCCACCACTTGTCTCAAAAGTGCAAGGTCCAGAGTTCAATTCCGGGTATCAAAAAAAAAAAAGAATTCTAGATGAAGCAGGTTCAATCACTATTTTCTTTCTTTTCTTTTTGGTACTAGGGATCGAACTTGTCATTTCAAGATGAGCCAACTGCAGTTTGCAGAGCCCCTGGGAAAAAAGCCCCAGTACCGAGCAGAGCAGTAACCCTGCACCGAGGGTTTCCTTCACAGCCATGAACTCGGTTGGGGACGGGGGAATCTGGTCCCCTCTCCTTGTGTTTGGCTGTGGCAGCAGGCAGCACTGTGGGAGCCAGGAAGGCCCTCCCCAAGGGGTTGAGGCCCTAGCTGGGCATTAAGATTACTTAGATTTGAGACAACAGAGGGCTAGCCTGCTAGGGAGGACAGCACAGAAAGGCCATGGTGCTGGAGCAAGTCCTGCCTAAAGCAAAACACCATGCCCCCCATGCCCAGGTCTCCCCCGGTCCCAGCACTCCCACCAGCCACCCTGGCCTCCAGCCCTCACCCTCATCGCCTCCTGACCTCTGCTTTTAGATCCGAGGGATGGGCATGAACTCGCCAGAGCTGCTCCTGCTGGTGGAAAACTGCCCCAAAGGGGCGGAGACCCTGGTCACCCGATGTCTGCACAGCCTCACAGATAAAGGTGCCCCAGGCACCCCCGTCTTTCACCTTGCCTGCCCCTGCTGGGTCCCTAGATGGTGGTGCCTCTTGTGAGTCTCCATTCCCTGGGCCTCAGTTTCTCTAGCTAAAGCAGTGTGGCACCAACTGCATGGGAGAAAGCAGGGCCTGCAGGTCCCTGCTGATGTGGAGGTGACCCTCCCACGCGCCACCCTGCCCCCTCCCTCTGGGTGGTCATCTGGCTCCCTCCCCACTCACCCCAACTGTGCTTCCTGCTTCTCTGCCCATAGTCCCACCCTCCCCAGAGCTGGTGAAGCGGGTCCGGGACCTCTACCACAAGCGGCTGCCCGATGTCCGCTTCCTTATCCCAGTGCTCAACGGGCTGGAGAAGGTACGGAAGGCTGCCTGGGTGGTCCGCTAGGCACAGTAGGATGGGGAGGGCGGAGCAGCAGGTGAGAGACAGGATGGGAAGCACATACCGGTGGTGCTAGGCTGTCAGATGGGTCCTCCTCTGCCCTGCCTCGCCCTCTGACTTCCAGCAGCCACTTGTCCTCTCAGAGCCTTAAATTTCCTCACCTGTCGGGAACCTTGCAGTGACATCCTGTCCCTGTGCATACACATGTGGACACGTGTCATTGTCCTGAGGCCTGCATGTCCCCAACATGTGGGGAGTCGTCCCTTAGAGGCTCTGTGCCTGAGGGGTGCTGCCCCGAGGAGCGGTGGGACCTGGAGAGAACCTCGTGTCTGCCTGAAAGGGGACGAGGGGGACCTCAGCCTTGGGGAGCCCCCTAGGGTGAGCAGACAGGGGCTCGGGAAGGGGCTGGGAGCATCTGACATGTTGCCCACCTCGCCTTCTCCCTGTAGAAAGAGGTGATCCAGGCCCTGCCTAAGCTCATCAAGCTCAACCCCATCGTGGTGAAGGAGGTCTTCAACCGCCTGCTGGGTACCCAGCATGGTAGGTGATGTGCCCCCTCCTTGCCAGGGGCCAGCTGGGCCCTGGGCCAAAATTTCCCTCCCCCAGGGAGGAGGGTGTGTGGGGCTTCCTGTCTGGAGAGAGGAGTCACCTTCCTCCCCATGTTATCTCCTGCACTTGTCAGCATGTGTCCCAGCTCCCAACCTTGGGGCTCTGGTCCCTCCTCAGATCCTGCCCGTATCCCTCAAGCTGGGCGCAGGGACATTGTGTCTGACATGGTCAAAAGGAAAAAACTTTGAAGGCCAAAAAACTACCAAGTAATGCAGCGTATATCCCACACCTCTAAGCCCTGTGGCTAGAGCAATTGTGTTCTGTGCAGCACCTGCCTGTTTAACACACACATCACACAAGCAGGCTCTGGGACCAGCCGGGGAGCTCCAGCAGAGCCTCCTGCCCTGGCCCTCTCCTTTCTACTCCTCTGGGCCCCAGTGCCTTGGAAGGCTCCAGCCACTTCTGTAATGTCCATTGCTGGCCTTGTTCCATCCTATCCTGTCCTGAAAACGCCCGTGGGCACCTGTGCCCTGCTGGAGTCAGTGCTGGGAACCCAGTGATGGACCGGTCCTAGCCCTCCCTTTGGGGGCGCATAGCCCACTGTGCAGCGAGGGCCAGCTGTGCCGCTCAGCATGGCTGTGACGAGGATGGGGACTGGGTGAGGAGAACAGGGTGAGGACCTGGGGCTGTTTGAACTCCAGTCTTCCCTTGTCCTATCCTCTGTCCCCCAGTCGGGAGGGTGGCCCTCTCTTCACTTAGGCCTCCATACTCTCTCCCCGCCACTGCCACCTGCTGCAGGTGAAGGGAACTCGGCCTTGTCCCCCCTGAACCCCGGAGAGCTCCTGATCGCATTACACAACATCGACTCAGTGAAGTGTGACATGAAATCCATCATCAAAGGTGAGGCGTCCTTCCCTGTCTGTGGCCTAGTCCTGTGCCCCAGAGCAGCCTCAGCCACCCGCATCCCCCACTGGAATCTGCCACCTGGAAGACCATGTCACCCGCAGCGCCCCCAACTCCCAGACCCACACTCAGCCCCTGCCCCTCCCTCCCTGGTCCTGCCCCCGGGTAAGGCACCTCAGGGATGGGCTGCTTCCTCCCTCCCTCCTTCCCGTGCTAGCCACAAGGAAAGGAAGGAAGCAGGGCCCAGGTAAGCCCTGATCAGAGGCTCACCCAGCAGTCAGGGTGCCGGGCACCCGCAGACCTTGTAGGAGCAGGCCCGAGTGGAGACAGGGGTGCGCCCCCACTCCGAGCCTGCCTCTCCCTTATTGCCCACGGGCCTGCTTCTGCTCATCCCATCATGTTGCTTGGTAAGCTGTTGGCTCCGCTTTGTAGTGAGGAGATGGAGTTTCAGAGAGGTTAAGTGACTTATTCAGCGATGTGATGGGAAACAGACTCTGAACTGAAGTACATCTGAGTTAAAAGTTCTGCCTCCTCCATGCACCCTGGGTCCCGGGGCCACCTCCCCTGAGAAGCCACCACCTCTGCTCTGTGCAGAGCACACACTCCCTCCCAGAGAGGCCTCTAGATCAGGAACCCTCCTTGACCAGGATGTGGAGGCCCTGCCTGTCGCCCTCCCTGAAGGCAGTTGTGCTTTGATTCCTCTTCTCCTCTTGGGTGGGGACTTCCTCTGTGCCACTTGTTTTTTCTAGCGTTCGATGGCTTCTTTCCTAGTGTGCACCCCCCACCCCCAGCAGTTCCTCAGGTCAGGAGAGGAGCTTATGACAAGGTGATACTGAGGAGGTGCCAAGGCCGCTGGTGGAAAAGCGGTGGGAGAAAAGGGTCTTGTGGGTTATGGTCCAGGACTGTGGTCTTAGACCCCCGGCTCCTTCTTCCTT